TTGTTAAGCTCATAATTATGTTGAGCCAATAATTTGCCGCTGCTTGTTCCCACTGGTTGTTACACTGCCCACAAATATCACACAGATCAAAATAACGAAGGAATTAGAGACCAACCAACTACGAGGCAGCTGCAGTTATTATAAGTTTTGATTCAAGCAGTGCCCGTGTTAGTGACATCAATCACAGTCTATACAAGGGGACGTGGATGTCAATTGCCATCGTACCTAGCTGCTGCGGACCATTAAAATTAATTTCATTCAGTGGAAACTGATGTCGTCATCCAAGCACACAGAGGAGTTGGTGAGAAAGAATTTTCTACGAATACATTTCCAAAACCATTTTTTGTATATATATAAAGATGGTGCAGCGAGACTGAGACTGCATTATAAATGTAACAAAATATATTTCGATTTAAAGCTTTCGTGACTGCAGGGATTCATCTTCTTGGTTCTTTCGGTAAAGTCACGTAGAAGGGAAATAGTAAAATAATAGAAATAAAACATAATAAAATAAAATTCTCACGACGTTTCGGCCACAATGCAAGCAGCCGTCCTCAGGTGAAGAACAGGGCGCTGTCTTTCCAACAGCCCTTTATTTTATTATTTTATTATTTCCCTTCTACGTGACTTTACCGAAAGAACCAAGAAGAATAACAAAATACATATTTGAAGGGCCCATGCAGGGGCCATGTGCTCTCCTGCAACAGATGACACATTTACACCCAACAATCGACAGCATAAATAAAGTATTAAATATGTAATTGCACTGCAAGGTGGCTTGCCGTCAAAACAACGCAAATCATTAGTTTTCCACACTTATTTCCCATTTTGTAATTAAAATGCATATGATACTAATCATTTTTAATGACCAACTCTTTAAAAAAAAGCTGTGCTTTTTTATTCTACCCAGTGCTAACTTGTATTTTACATATATATAAAATAAGGCCTCTAATTAGGCAACATGTGATTACATTATTTAAAAAGAGAGAGAGGGTTGCAGATTTCGTATTATAACCTCATTAAGGGACACGAAATCTTGCAAAAAAAGCCCCTACCCCAATCGTCTGCTTAATAGCTGTAAAAAAAAATCGTTGTAATTTGCCATTCCCACATTTCAGCGTACGCTGCCCAACGTTACGCGAAGACCGCTCGAGACGGCACTTTGACGCTATGAAAAAAATTTAGCCGACAATAATGGTTACATTGAGTGTTACAAAAGAACAATCATATCACCTCGCCAACTGCAGGGCTGCAACGGGGGAGCCAATTAGGTTTGCATGGACGAACCACGCTCCAGCAGGAGGGGACGCCCCGTGAAAGCCGAGAGCAACGCAAGTCCGTCGTGCGCTTTCGGGCTGTGAATTTTTCGAGGTCAGAAACCCCCCAAAAAACCTACCCAAAAAAAATCGCAGAGTGTAAACATCTGTTCTAGAATTTAAGTTTTCGTGACTGCAAGGGTCCATACAAAAAATGTTTTTTTCGGAAAAGTCACGTAGGTAAAAAAAAAATTACATCACGACGTTTCGGAGGCAACACAAGCTTCCGTCTTCAGGTGGCACCGTCACAGCAAAATAACTGTATCAAGTGATACAGTAATTTACTGTATCTAGTGATACAGTAAATTATTGTATCAAGTGATACAGTAATTTTGCCACCTGAAGACGGAAGCTTGTGTTGCCTCCGAAACGTTGTGATTTTATTTTTTACCTACATGACTTTACCGAAAAAAACAAACAGTATGTAAATATCTAGACCAACAACAGAGGCAACGAAAATCTTCTGAGCAGCGTCTCATTGTCCACCTGTCGTTGTAAAGAGGACGCGGATTTCCACAGAACACTTTACCCATGTGACGGAGCGAAAATGAAAAATAACAGCAGTCACAGTGACATGATGCCTGCCCCAGATAGTTGTCAAACTATCGCCTGAAATTGCAGTGTCAGAGTACACTCGCATTTGGAAAAGAATACCCCACGCGGTTGAAAATGAGAGGTGGGTGGGGAACATCCACACGGAGGCAGACTCCTTTCCAAGTTCGTTTTCCTTTTGTCAAAATTCAGTTTTTGCTACTCCTAGGTTTTTTCGGTAAAGTCACGTAGGTAAAAAATAAAATTAATAAAAGTAATAATAGAAATAAAATATAATAAATCATAAAGCAATAAATCAGTGATTTATAATTTATTTTATTTCCATTATTACTTTTATTAATTTTAATTAAATTTTTACCTACGTGACTTTACCGAAAAAACCTAAGAGTATGAATCCTTGCAGTCACAAAAGCTTCAAATCTAGAATCAGTTTTTGCTTTCACCGATCCATTGGCTTATATATATATAAAACACAAGAAATAGATTTCGTTACGATGCGATACTACTGTGCATGTTTTCCCCCTCTGGTCATTGTGTAACCTAAATGCTGTGTGGAATTCAAGACACACTGCACAACACGCAAAGATAATTGTCGCTGTTCACTTTGGCTGCATTCAGAGTGCCTCCGAATTAGATGTTTGGTGTAGTAATAATAGTAATCGAAATGTTATTGATCCAGGATAGCTTCAATGAGTCTCAAGATTATTTTTTAAGAGAATCTTCCATAGGGTTGCTTTGTCAATACATGTGGAAGGAAATCAAAGCACCCTGAGAACACACACACACACAGCTGTACTGCCTTGTAGTACTGACCACCTCCTGATGGGCGAGGAGGAAGTTTCACGAAATTACACAACCCGCCAAAACGTTAGACCACAGGCAATGGACCCACGGCATATAATTGTATTTTTTTTTTACTTAAAAAAAATTATTAAAATATGCAGATTTTTTTCTATTAAATCTTTACGTCAACGGAGCCACCGCGGCGCAATTATAGGCGAAAATGCTGGACCCTTGCACACATTAACGGGAGGGGGGGGGCGGAACGTGCTAGTACCAAGCGAGCGATATTGAAATGTTATGGCGGCAGAGTCCTTCTCCGCTCCAGGGACATTCACGTGCGAGCGTGAAAGGTCACCACCGGCTCTCGCTCACTCGCTCGCTCGCTCTCTGCGTTTACAGAACGCGTATATATATTTTTTATACCGTTGGTCAATTGCCGCATGGAAGCAAATAAATAGTAACATTGATAGCAAATCATTCTTCACCAGAAATGCGCGCTGCCAAAAATCCACCCACACACACACGGAACCACCCCCGCCCCGTGTGTGCGCAACAACAGAGGGCCAAAAATAATAATAAGAATTGACGTGCTATCACTCGTTATGAAAACACTTTCACATCTTCTTTTTTCCGAAACAGTCATTTCGCTTTGAAGGGCCCTTGCGCACGAGGGCAGGTTATCGCACCGTCAGGCGTTTCCGCAACCGGGATGATTTCGTAAAATTCACTTTCGCGTATACACATGCCACGCGGAGATCTGCTTCTGTCAACAATGCGCTAAAAAAATGACGGAAAATAATATGGCTCTCACGGCGGAAAAAAAAACCGGTGTTTTTTTTAACGGCACAAAACAAAAATGCACAGCCAAGTGCAGTTGGGGTTGCGGTGGCGATAAACTTAGTAGTTCAGGCACTTGGAGGGAGGAGAGGTGGGGGGTGGGTTGATGGATCACGCAAAGATGGGAGCATTGTGCTTGTGAGACACGCACACGGGGGGACACTGAAAGCAGTGGAGCAAACAGGTTGCTGTCCGATCTGATCTCAGTGCGACCACACAATCAGCACGGGCCGTCACTAACCGGAATAGATGCATTGCCTGTACGCACACCTCGGATTAGCACGGTTGGCTACGTACAGCGGCGCAAAAGGAGTCCAACATGCGCGCATAAATAAGTTACACGATATGTACAGGTGTGCGTTTGTGTACCAGGCGTATCAATTTGTCAGGGTCGTGAGTTGATTCAATCGTGTTTACACGTCGCCACAGTTCATCACGCCGGCTGGTACGGATTCCTTCAGATATCACTCACAGCGAGATGTGAGCCATGGCTGGGAATCGAACTCGGGTCACTGGGGTCACATCGCATCCACTCCCGACGCAACGTTTTTCAATCGAAACACATCGATTCTTATGCACGCGAATCAATGCCGTGCGTAGAGTTCATACGGCACGTTAGGGTTGGGTGTGAGGTTCATGAAAAGGACATGGGGCCAGGCCCACACGAGATCATGAGAGAGGGGTGTTGGCAAGGCATGCGAGGGAAGGGGTGGAGGAAACCTATTGACGGGAAAGAGAGGGTAGATATTAATGTTTATCAATTTTACCAGGTAAGGCCCACTGAGCTATGTAGCTCTTGTTCAGAAGCGACCTGGCCACATATGATAGCTCAACGAAGTGGGAAATTTATAGCAGCCAAACACTCTAAACGCACGTCGATTCTAAATGTGGAGCGCAAAACCGGAGGATCTGGAGAAAAATCCACGTGACCACAGAGAGAGCCACGCAAACTCCAAATATACAGCAGCAGGCGCCAGGGTCGGGATCGAACCCACGACCTCCTTCATACCAGGCGAGGCAGGGAAGAGGAGAGGCAGGGAAGAGGAGAGAATGCCAATGGGGCTCCGGGAATGATGAGGCCGGTCGTCAACTGCAACACCAGTCGTCCGTGCACTACAGGTGTTCGCTCGTGTTGGGTGTTGGTGGGAACGATGCAAAGTTCCCTTAGCAGTTAAATTTCGATTTAAAGCTTTCGTGACTGCAGGGATTCATCTTCTTGGTACTTTCGGTAAAGTCACATAGAAAGGAAATAATAAAATAATAAAACATAATAAAATAATTCTCACGACGTTTCGGCCACAACGCAAGCAGCCGTCCTCAGGTGAAGAACAGGTCTGTCGAGAAGACAGAGTCTGACAGGTCTGTCGAGAAGACAGAGTCTGACAGGTCTGTCGAGAAGACAGAGTCTGACAGACCTGTTCTCCACCTGAGGACGGCTGCTTGCGTTGTGGCCGAAACGTCGTGAGAATTATTTTATTATGTTTTATTTTTATTATTTCCATTCTACGTGACTTTACCGAAAGAACCAAGAAGATGAATCCCTTAGCAGGTCGTCTCGCGTGGACTCCCTTCCACATGGATCGGGAGCTCAATCGTGACACATCAAAACCATCGTTGCACCCCTAGCGGAACACATCTCGTATCGCCATTGATCCAAATGCCCGCGTTCCTTGTGACCGACGGCGCAGACCCCACCCGCTTAAGCCCACTCGCTTGCCACGTAATGAAATTGACATCCGGCACTAAATGGGGGAAAAAGTGCGTCACGGCACTCGGCTCGAAGCCATTCAAATGTACGGGAGAGCCGACCGTGCCGAGAAATTGTCCACAATTCATAAGGCGTGCTTATCGTCTGGTTACAGCACAAAAGGCTCAACCTCTCTTGGCCCTGGGATGTTCAGGAGAATGCGCAACGGCGGCGCGTGTTTGAACAATCACGATGGAAAGCCATTGCAGAGGTAGGACATCGCTTAGGAGCGAGCCTTTTAGTTTAAACAGAGGGTTCGGGGGTTGGGGGGATGGTGGTGGGGTTGAGCGGCCTTCATTCTCGCTATTTACTTTTCTAACCGACACTGGGGTCCGTGCTCTTAATTTTCGTGTGCGCACAAATTCGAGGCCGCGTTCAATTCTATTTAGCGTAGCCGGCTGTTGAGCTGCTTTCGCGCCGTAAGTAGCCAACCGCACTCATCGGAAGCGCGGGATTTCGTTGTCGCCAGGCTGTGTGCAGTTACAGCGCTGGGCAATTCCCTGTGAACTACGACTGGCGCTTTGGTTAAAAGGTGGTTGGGGCAGTAGAAAATGAGGCAGTGTCAAACGACCAAAACGAGTGCTACATTTCAGCACTGGTACGTCTGGAATTACAACTCCAGAGGTCACCAGTTCGAGCTCCCAGTGCAGCTGGTGGAACAATGGAGAAGTTCCTTAAATCCACCACCACTTTCTCTCCAACCAGCATAATGAAATTGGTACACCACAGATAAGCTATAGCAGGGATGCACCTTTACTTTGCCACTGGCAGTGAGTTAATCGTGGTGAGTTAGTAGTGGTGAGTGAACTATTTTTTGGTATCTTATCAGGTAAGGCCCACTGAGCTATACCTGTACAGCTCTTTTTCAGAAGCGTCCTGGCCACAAATGATAGCTCAACTGTGTGGAAATATATATCTGCCAAATACTCTAAATGCACGTTGATTCTAAATGTGGAGGGGAAAAACCAGAGGACCCAGAAAAAAAATTCACGTGACCACGGGGAGAGAGAGACACGCAAACTCCAAATATACAGGCATCAGGGTCGGGATCGAACCAACGACCTCATGTATACCAGGCGAGGTAGTTAACATCTGGCCAACGTGCCAATTAAAGCCATTAAGAAACTGACTGTTGGGCCACGTTGGTCAAAAATTTGGTAAAACAGATCGTAGAGGCCCCTTGGAGCCACATTACTGAAAGGGAGCAGAAACAGCAATGAGGTTTGCACGAAATAAAATGGGAAGACCTTGTTAAAATGAATCGGAAAACGTGATCTTGGCATGGGATCCATGAATAAAATAACAGACAAAATATAACGAGCGAGCTCGTTTTAGAGGCTATACATCTCGTACTCAGATAAAAACAAGTTGAGAATAAGCATGCATACTCATGGATAATGCAACGCTTTTCAACACGTGTTGTCTTCCAACATAATTAATTGGCAGTATGTAAACCGATAGGCAGCTTCGAAGGCAAAATGCGTTTGCACTTTAACAAGTAGTCATTTTTTCTGTGGTTCAAGTCTGGCAGATTGTAGGCACCGCTTCGGTGAATTTGGCAGTTTTCGAAAGAGTTAGTCCCCAATTGAAACCCGACTTTAAGGAATTCCCTCTCATCGACTATCTCCCAAGTTCCCCAAAACCTCGCTTAGTAACAAACAAAAGCACTATCATATCGTATTCACTAACACCCAAAAATAAGTTCCGCTCGACATTACGGGCCTCTGGGTGTGCGCTAAGGAACCATGGTTTTTGAAAGAAATGCCGGTTTCCTTGATCTTGGATCGTCTTAACGAGAGTTATCGCAACCCCGTCTGTTACGGACAGAGGGATCATGCGTAGGCGTTCACCCTCAGTTGGAAAGCACGAATAACCACGGACAAAATATACAGGCAGCCATTTCAGACGTTAAACATTCTTGAGAATAATTTGTCACCAGAAATGTTGACCGACTCCTCGCATTTTAAAACGAGGTAACAGCAATGCCGGTGTAACCCTGTGCGGTTTCAGACGCTGTGCATTATTCGTTGTGCCGCTCAAACATTCGCCACGGCCACCACCATCGCCTGGTTATCGTTGCTGGATTGTCACTAAACCAAAAAGGGATTTTCCACGTCCTCTCTGTCGCTACGTTGTCTTTTGTTAGGAAAGCGCATCCTTATTGCTTCACGAGGGCAAGCATTCTGGCCCATCTATGTTCACGAACCGAAATTAAACGTGCTCCTTAAGTATAACGCTCATGAGCGTTCAGTACTCGTATGCTGAGAGAAAATTACATGCAAGTATTCTACCAAACACGCACATAATACCGCATCTCACAACAGATATCGGAATCTAAGCAGGATAGTGCTTGGATAGGCAATCTCATTTATCGTCAGATCTGTACTGTATAACTACCGTACCATCGCAGGAAGCCCATGAAATAGAGCCTAACAGCTTATTGGGCCCTTCCTGCCGAAATAAATACAATCTATCTGAAGCCAGGCAGCGATGAGTCTGGATCGTGCGAGGATGTGTGATCACCACGCACGAACTCCATGTCACGGTGCTTGCGGGGGGGGGGGGCGAAACAAGGTGGGCAGGATAGGGCGGTGCGGAGGAAAAAAAACCTCTGTCTTTTCGGCCAACATCAACCGTCACCACCCAGCGTGGTGAAGTAAGTAACCCCCACGGCACACACAGGCATTGGGAGGGGGCCACATCCAGTAGTGAGCTGACAATCGGGCGACACAAGTGATGGTACATGAGCATTGCACCAAAGCATTTGGTGGCTTCATTCTCTTTACTGCTTCAGGACCATTCGCACCACTGTCGAAACAGACGCATTCATTTTTAAAACGTGTGAATCGCAATTAATGGCATGTTTAAAAAAATATTATCTCGATAATAACGCTGCTAATGTGCGCCCGTGTCTGTTCACGTATGTTGTGCAAGGGGCTGAGCGAGGAGGAGGTGGAGAAAAGGAAAATGAAGTCTGCATTGTTTTCAAAAACGCTGTAATTAAAATACAATGGGAATTTACCATTTGCATAATTGGCTTTTGTAAAATACAAAAGAAATTTGTTACAACTAATCATCCTTCGAGTTAATTAAAAATTTGTGTTTTGTGCCACTACACATTTGCACACAATCTATATTCATTCACATTTTAACGCAAAAAGAGACAATTGTCAAGGTTTACCGAGGTATATTTTTGCGCACAGTTTATAAAATAAAATAGAGGAAGCACTGACGCAGTGGTGATGACATTACGCAATGAACCCGGTGACCCGAGTTCAATTTCTGGAATTTTACTAAAGTGAAAAACCAAATTTAACACGAAGGTTTTGCGTGCATTCGTTAAACGATCAGGCTAAGACCACCAACTTACTACACCTGAGACGGTCGCTGCATCACGCGCTTTGAGATGCGCTTCTGCGGCCGTCTGGAACACCTCTTCCTTCCGATATTAGGAAGCCACTGGAGCGATGCGTTTTAAATCATCTAGATTGAAAACTAATTTCTTTAGAACAGCTTTTTGTGTTTAGTTCGTTGTCCTTCCCCCACACCTCCGATTGGCACGGTAGGCTACGTACGGTGCGAAAGAAGTTCAACATCGAAATATACATAAATCACGTGTGGTTGAAACCTGGATTGGATTCTCAGCGGTATGGGCTTGGTGCTCCAAACCCAAGCGATGGGCCAACGGATGGGGCAACACCACTCTGACACCCTGGCCATCCGGCCACCTTACTCGCCATAACTTTTGCAATACACATAGGAAGCGGTAATTTTCACTATCTCCCTATTTATTTTACCAGGTAAGGCCCACTGAGCTATGTAGCTGTTTTTCAGAAGCGACCTGGCCACAAATGATAGCTCAATGAAGTGGCTTATCATTCGGAAAATTATAGCAGGCAAATACTCTCAACGCATGCTTCTAAATGTGGAGAGAAAAATCGGAGGACCTGGATAAAAAAAATCCACGCGACCACGGGGAGAGAGAGAACATGCAGACTCCAACAACCTCCTGTACACCAGGCGAGGTAGTTAACATCTCCTCTTCCGCTGCGTTCATCCATGGTTGCGTGACCAGGGGGGGGGGGTGGCGGGGGGGGGTGAAGATCACAGCGGTGCTAAGATTTTTCCCACGGCTGGCGTCACCGTCGCCGGCGCCAGGAGCAGCAACTTCCCGCAAAGCCCGGCACGTACGCCGCCCTTGGCGGGCACCACGTACGTGGTGCCGTCCGCTTGACGCCGGGGGTCGAACTCGAGCAGCTGCCCGTTGCTCTCCGCCACTCGGTCGAAATCCCAGAGTCGATGGCGCACGCTCTTGCCTTGCTTGGCGAGCAGGTAAAGGGCACGCACCTGGGGCGCGGGGCGGGTTGAGGGCGCACGCGCGTGCACAGGCGGCGTTAGTTCCGTCGGAATTTTTCACTTCGGCTGTGGTCTCGAGTCGAGTGGAAGATAAACAACCCGTGGAATTTTAATCAAGCCTTTCTGTGCGGATTTCATTCATTCTGTAAAATACAGCGGTAGTTAGGTATTAAACGTTGGTGTGATGGGTGGGAGTTTTCCACCCACACCCCTCCAAATATCATCAGGTAAATCCATCAGTGATCTCTGTAACTATTTGCCAAATACATAAGACAATGACCATTTTTATCGTCTTCCTCAGTGCACTGCGGTCTTGAAGAGCGTTCATGAGTTATATCTTAAGTCTACGTCTCCGCTCAGGTTCCATAAATTCGTCTTGTCATAGTCCCGTTGAAGTCTTAGAGGTGAGCAGCAGTCTTCAAGTCACGGTCAAGTTTGATGATTTTCATCCACTCAGTCATGCTTGCCTGAAATTTTTTTTTTTAAATCCCACTTGGTTGACAAATAGTTTGGCCACTGTTTTCGAGGGGGGGGGGGGCGAGAGAGCGCGGGGTCACAGGACAACGTTCGCATCAACAAGCGGGAATGCCTCCTGATGGATGCCTCGGGAGGAGGAGTATGGGTAACGATTAATACAGCTCTGGCATTGCCTAGTGGGGGGGGGGAGGGCATGGAGACTGATCGAGATTTGAAACAGGTACCCGCTTGGCGAAATTGGCAAAGCTCAGAACGATGGGGCATTTATTCGTAATTAATTTTTGCCGTTTCTGAAAATAACTATTGCCGCAATGAGTCATTGGATCCGTTTGATAAAAGCAGAGCATAAGAATTGATTTTGCAATAACTGGCTCATTAAATTCAGATTTTCTTGGCTTATTTTATTTCATTCTTACCGGTCACTTTTCTCGCCTCCCTTCCCTTCATCCTTTTCATAATAGTTGTGTTACCCAATCTCCTCTCTTTTTGTCATCCCTCTCACATCCATTCCACTTAACTGTTTTAAGATTTTACAAAACCTATTAAAAAAAACTTCCCAACACCACCTACATTTTTCTCGGCATCCTTAATATAACATCCTCACTCTTAAAAAAAAAATTGTAATGTGATGATCACACGTGCACGTGACTTTTCATTGGTCTAATCTATCCAAAATGGTCGACAGGTCGTGATTTGAAATTCTGAACCTGTAGTCCAGGTGCAGAGAACAACTCCTTGACTCTCTCCTCTGCAGATTCTGCGGAATACAGCCCTGGCGTTGCTGCAACTTCCTCGAAACACGGCTCCACGTCCGACCAATCCACACCAAGCAGAGCCCCTGAAATGACAGAGCATTGTTAAACCGCTGACGCAAGACAAGTCGCTAGAAGGGCTGATTGCCGGCGGTCGAAACTAATGGCGAGAGTGCCAGCCAAAGGAGGGAATGTGTTCAAGGTCGAGAGGATGATCCACGGGAGCGTTGAAGTCAGCGCGTATTCAGGTGCTACCTGGAACGCCACGGTGGCGAGATGTTAACTACCTCACCTGGTATACGGGAGGTCGTGCGTTCGACGCTGACGTCTGTATATTTGGAGTTTGAATGCTCTCCCCATGTGGATTTTTCTGGTTCCTCTGGTTTTCTTCTCCAGAATTAAGAAACTATGCATATAGAGTATTTGGCTGCTATAAATTTCCACGTAATAAGCCACTTCGTTGAGCTATGATTTGTGGCTCAGTGGGTCTTACCTGGTAAATAAAAAAAAGTTTCTAGTAGAAATACGTCGAAGGATTGAGAAAGATGGCGCCGGCTTTGGGAGGCTTTCATCTAGCAGTGGCCAGATCATGGCTGATGATATAAATGCCGGTGATAATAGTGTTTCGATTTAAAGCTTTCGTGACTGCAGGGATTCATCTTCTTGTTTCTTTCGGTAAAGTCACGTAGAAGGGAAGTAATAAAATAATAAAAATAAAACATAATAAAACAATTCTCACGACGTTTCGGCTACAACGCAAGCAGCCGTCTTCAGGTGAAGAATGAGACACTACCAAACTAGGAGCTTATATATAAGCTGCATTGGGGGTTGAAGAGCGCCTTAACAAAAAGAATGTGCATGTGAAGAGGGATTTAGCATATTCATGGAAAATGCGTAGGCGTTGGGCGGGGGGGTGTCAAAGTCATATTATGCCCATGCATTATGCAGGATCAGCAGCAACCAAGGGGGGTGCAGGGATTAGCAGTAACAAAGGAAAGGAATGTTAATGATATGTAGCTGCAGTTACTCAACAACCACGTAGAAAACTAAAGTATAAACTACATAAAAAACTAAAGTATAAACTGCATCGCACCATCAGTATACTTACTATACTCTATAATAAGCTGAGTTACTAACAGCAAGTAATACATTACAATTTTACCTCGTAAAAAATTCTATAATATGCTTCCATCTAAACCTTATTCTCTTACATCACACGAGCATATACCGTACTATATACTGCCATAGATAAACCCAACATTAAATTATATACTGTATTGCTGTAAACCAACCTATATCTTATACATTTAATATCACACTATGTATTATTCTACACACCCTAATGTGTATCGAAATGGTTTATTACGTCCTTCCAATGATTGCTGAGCCAGAATCCATCTTCTCGGTTAAAGTTGTCTCTGTGTTTGTATATGTGGATCGCCTCATGAACGAATCTCTCATGATAGCCAGATGGCTTGCAGAGAACCTCTGTCTTGGAGAAGTCAATATCATGTGAGCCCACTGAGTTGTAACAGTGATCTGCCACGGCTGAGGTGTTAGTCCTACCGTGTTTCAGGTCAGCTTTATGTTCACGGATGCGGTCCGAGACATGTCGTTTGGTTTCCCCAATGTAACTGCTACCACAGAGGCAACTTAGTTTGTAGACGCCAGGGTACTGTATGTCTGGAACCACATCTTTTACAGACGGTACCAGATCACGGATTTTATGTACTGTGTTGAATCGGACCTGGATCTTGTGTTTAATCAGGATTTTGGAGATCTTTTTTGTGACCCCAGCAATGTAGGGTAAGGTGATGGTCTTGAAAGGCTCCTCAACAGGATCCTTCTTGATGGTTGGAGTGATGGCTTTGCTGATTGTATAGTCGGAGTAACCATTTGCCTTAAGAGCTTGGCGTACGTGTTTGAGTTCACTGGAAATGTGTTCATGGTCGGAGATGCATTGGGCTCTATGATATAGAGTCTTGATGAGGGAATTCTTCTGAGATGGATGGTGGTGGGAATCCGGTTTTAGATAAGCATCCGTGTGGGTGGCTTTCCTGTAGACAGAGTGGCTCATTGAACCATCAGGTCTCCTTTTGATTAGGACATCCAAAAAGGGTAGCTTGCCATCATTTTCGACTTCCATGGTGAATCTGATGGCTGGGTGTATGGAATTGATGTGGTCGAGAAATTGGTCTAGAGCAGGCCGGCCATGTGGCCAGATGACAAAAGTGTCGTCTACGTACCTCTTCCATAAGGTCGGGCGTAGAGTGGCAGTCTGGATGGCGTCCGTCTCAAATTTCTCCATGAAGATGTTGGCTACAACCGGAGATAGGGGGGAGCCCATTGGGGTGCCCTCAATTTGCTTGTAGAAGGTTCCATTCCAGGTGAAGTATGTATTGGTTAAGCAGTGTCTCACCAGGGGGGGTACCCCAGCATTCAGTCCTTGATGAACCAAGTCTTCAATGATTGCGATGGTGTCAGGCACAGGTACCTTGGTGAACAAGGAAACCACATCAAAACTGACAAGCAGGTCGTCTGGGGACAGGGCAATCCCCTTGATTGTCGATACCAGGTCAGTAGAGTTTAGTACTGCAGAGGTGGTTTTTCCAGTGAAAGGCCGTAGGATTTCGGACAAAAAACGAGCCAGTTTGTAAGTGGGGGAGTTGATAGTAGAGACAATGGGACGAAGAGGTGTATCTTCTTTATGTATCTTTGGCAAGCCGTACAATCTTGGTGGTCTGGCTGCAGAAGGTTTCAACGAGAACTGTTTGGTCTGATCAATTAATGCGGTTGAAGCAGAAATGATGTTGTTGGTTTTGGAGACGAGGCTGTTGGTGGGGTCTCTTTTTATTTTTGTATAGCTGCCATCGTTTAGTAGTTCTTGAATTTTGTTGTTGTATTCTATTTTGTCCATGATGACAGTGGCATTGCCTTTGTCGGCTGAGAGGATGACAATGTCATCCCTCTTTTTTAATTGAGCTAATTCAAAACGCTCCTCTTTGCTGATGTTGCTAGCTGGCATCTTAGCGTTTTTGAGGGTTACAGAGATTTCGGATCTTGCTACGTCTGCAGCGATGTGACTCAAGCCCTTGAGAGCTACATCTACTCGAGCAATTATATCATTAACTGGTATGTGTCTAGGTGTGACTGCAAAGTTTAGTCCTTTAGCTAAAACGGATTTCAAACCTTCAGAAATAGGACTGTTACTGCGATTAATTACGACTTTGTTAATATCTAGCTTTTCAATGTGTGGGTCCGGTTTCTTGTTTGAGAGGCGATTGAATTTGGAAATCAAGTTGTCCTTACATTTAGTCGACATAGCGGCAGCTGAAGAGGCAGTCATTTTTTCCACATGTTCCCAATCCGATGTGGACATTGTTACACTCAAAGATAAGTGTGATTTGTAGAGTGTCTTGTCTAACTGATCTAGTTCGGTGCGCGTAAGTCTGATTTTCTCTGAGATAAGAGCTAAGCTAGTTCTAGACAGAATTCGTTTCGCATTAGAAGAAGTTACAGCAGCAGATGTTAGTGTAAATGCGTTTGGTATTACCTTAGAGTCGCGGCATCTCTTCAGAAAGGTGAGAGACTCGATTAGCTGAGCCTTCTTATCCCGGAGCTTGTTGAAGGATCTCAGAGTTATGTGGAAACCCTCCCCGTAGAGGCGGTTAAATTTCGATTTAAAGCTTTCGTGACTGCAGGGAATGAATATGCTAAATCCCTCTTCACATGCACATTCTTTTTGTTAAGGCGCTCTTCAACCCCCAATGCAGCTTATATATAAGCTCCTAGTTTGGTAGTGTCTCATTCTTCACCTGAAGACGGCTGCTTGCGTTGTAGCCGAAACGTCGTGAGAATTGTTTTATTATGTTTTATTTTTATTATTTTATTACTTCCCTTCTACGTGACTTTACCGAAAGAAACAAGAAGATATTAGTGTTACCATTAATTACCACGAAGCATTTGTAAATACGATGTTTTACATATATACTGTTAATATCGTGAGTAATTTCGTGATAGAAATCAATGCAGGTTATCACAATTGGGCAACAAGTTGACGGACATTCGTTTTCTATTGAAACTAAAGAAGGGTGATGATATTTTGCGCACAGCCACATCGGTTTGTTTGACCATACTTCACCGATCCGGTCGGTGTGTGGCTGAGTGAATGTGGGGAGCCCCCCCCCCCCCCCAGATGGGTTAATCTCTCACCTCACCAGCCATGTCAGCCCAGGGACAGAAATCAAACTTTAAGAGAATGCATTTTGTAGTAATAGGTTTTTACCCTTTCAACTGGTACAAAACTGACACCTTTATACAAGGGATCATGTTTACAATAACCACAACACAAGCAGTCAAAATGCAAAAAAAATAAACAACTCTGATAATGATAATGATATGCATTGTCCTTGAAGTTGATTGGTCCACACCCGAGACAGCTTTTCTTAGAGCCTTTTGGCGTCATCTGGTCCAACACCAATGGAGACTAGGCTCTAAGAAAAGCTGTCTAGGGTGTGGACCAATCAACTTCAAGGACAATGCATATCATTATCATTATCAGAGTTGTTTATTTTTGTTTGCATTTTGACTGCTTGTGTTGTGGTTATTGCAAACATAATCCCTTGTATAAAGGTGTCAGTTTTTGTACCAGTTAAAAGGGTAAAAACCTATTACTATATTTTGCCACCGGTAAAGGAGGTCTCATAGTATTAATGCATATTTTCTTTTTTATCTGATATTAAACCAAGTATATGGCAGGTTTCCACCCATTATAAATTAATCTAGTTTCAAGCATGCGCCGCGTAATCACCACATCATCCCGAACACGTCCCAGCATTAGTTTAATGGCCTCTCTATCCTGGACCATCTGTACACCCATTAATCGTATGCACTCATAACCTGTTGGCGTGATTGTCTGCAATTTTACTTTTCAATATACAATAGTTTAATTTTACAACATGCATGCAGTAACCTAGTTTCAAATTACATCTTTAACGGTAAATTTCAAATCAATGAAAGCTCATCCTCTGTTGATCTTTGGTATTTATTGTGCAATTGCTATGAATACTGAGCATCTGGTGATATTTTAATTCCCAAGTCAAATGTAGTCTACTCATGAAGTGTATTACAGGCCACTGCATTCTCACTGATAGATGTTGCTAAGCTAAAGGGGAGCGGTGGCGCAGTGGTTAACACACTGTGCTGTAAACCTGACAAATCCGAGTTTAATTCCCAAGCAGGTTTGACATCAGTGGTGAGTGATATCTAAACTGGCCCAGGGCCCCACCACACTCATTTCTTTAGAACGGTTGGCAACGTACGGTGCAAAAAAAAGTTCAACATACATACCATCAACCTGCACTGATCAGCATGGTGAAATATGGTGAAATATGGTGAAATATGGTCAATGACCCCCGAAAATCACACGGTGTAGGGAGGTATTAATCAAGCAAATAAATATTATTGTTGTGTAACTAATTCTATTGAATATTTGCTGTAATGAATCTTACGCAATGTATTAAGTAGCTATTGCTTATTCTTGGTTCTTTCGGTAAAGTCACGTGGATTTCACACCTGATGATGATGATTGCTTGTGTTGCAGTCGAAACGTCGTGATAATTTTTATTGTTTTATATTTGTATTATTTTATTATTTCACTTCTACGTGACTTTACCGAAAGAACCAAGAATATGAATCCCTGCAGTTACGAAAGCTTTAAATAAAAATTTAGCTATTGCTTCTTTGACCCAAGTCACAATAAATGCCTCGTTACTCCAGTGCTCCCCCATTTTTTTATTGTATAACCTACGCAAATACACATCGGTACGCATGAGCAATTTGGTTCTTTTAGCATTAAAATTGCGAAGGAATATAGATTGTGTGCAAATGTACGGTGCACTACAACAATTTTCTTAATTAACGCGAAGGATGGATTTGTCGGGTAGCCGAGCGCTGCGACCGCAAATTGTTTCAGAATCCAACCCCCCCGCGAATTTCAAATACGACACCGATAAACTCGTCGCAAAGTACGCACAACCGCGATTGTTGTAAAGCACTGCGGACATGAAGCGGTGACTGTAACGCGAGGGTGCCCTGTGCAGACAGTGACGCGTTGCGGCTTACCGGTCACGACCGCCCAGTGAGCCTTGTGACCACGCTTGTTACACGGCTCGTAGTTGCTGTCCGAGTCGTATCTGAGGTTCCGCGTCAAGGGGCTTGGGGGGGCTATGGCATTTACACTATGAGACATCTCCTTTACCAGTGGCAAAAATATAGTAGTAGGGTTTTACCCTTTAAACTGGTACAAAAAACTGACACCTTTATACAAGGCATCATGTTTGCAAGAACCACAACACAAGCAGTCAAAATGCAAACAAAAAGAAACAACTCTGATGATGATAATGATATGCACAGTCCTTGAAGTTGATTGGTCCACACCCGAGACAGCTTTTCCTTAGAGCCTAGTCTCCATTGCTGTTGGACCAGATGACGCCAAAAGGTGTTTGTTTGCATGTTGACTGCTTGTGTTGTGGTTCTTGCAAACATGATGCCTTGTATAAAGGGCTATGGTATGTTGCACGGCGTTCGCTTACTCCGATTAGCGCGGCTGGCGACGTACGGTGCGAAAGAAGTTGAACATGCTGTACATAAAATACAGAGAGCGCTAGGTGGATAAAATGGAACGACTTGGTACAGTGGGGAGCACACAGGTTGTCACGTCTACCAGCCGTCTCAGTCAGTTAACCTATAGCACCGGAGTTTGTCCCGTAACCTCTTGCCACCAGAGATCCTTCCACACTGCACGTGGCTTTGAGGTGCACTGTGCCTGGCACGAGCGCCGTGGTGAGGTCACCGCTATTTCGCGCAGAATGCGGAGATCCTTGTTGTTGTTGTGAGCCAATGCCCAAGAGGTCGGTGCTTGGTGGCATTCGTTTACTCCGATTTGCACGGTTGGCAATGTACGGTGCGAAAGAAGTTGAGCGTACTGACATGCGTATGTTTAGATTATTTTGCTGCTCTAAGTTTCCACATAAGCCACTTTGTTGAGCTATAATTACTGGGCCAGGTCGCTTCTGAAAAAAGAGCTATATAGCTCAATGGGCTTTACCTGGTAAGATAAAAAAAAAATAGTTAAGTTTCAATTGTGTATATTTTTATGCGATTTGTTTAACCTTTCCTTTAGTTTCCACTGTAGCCGAAACGTCGTGAGAATTATTTTATTGTTTTATTTTTATTATTTTATTACTTTCCTTCTACGTGACTTTACCGAAAGAACCAAGAAGATGAATCCCTGCAGTCACGAAAGCTTTAAATCGAAATTTCCACTGCTATCGCGTTTTTATATTTCTTGTTATTTATAACGTTCTGACCCCGCGTGCACCTATTGGACATCTGTCAAAAAGAGCTTCATAGCTCATCGGATTCCTCAAGTATAAACAAATATGGATTCCAAAATAAATATTCTGATTCCGATTCTGACAGACGCACATTAGGACAGGCGCACGCGACCGGGGACGCGCGAGGAGATGCGTTACGTCGCTTGCAGCGCGCCGCGGGGCACACCATACCGCTCTTGGTGCAATGTCCCAACGTATCCGCTCTTGCGGCGAGAACGGGGGGAGGGGGGGGGGCTCAGCCACAGTTCACGAACAAGAGAAAAGCAAAAGCTGCGGCGATGTCTCGTGACTCATTTCTTTACAACTGCTTTTTGCGTCTAGTTTTTTGTACTTCCTCCACACCTCCAATTAGAATGGTCGACTACGTACGGCGCGAAAGAAGTTCAACATGCGTATAGACGTACGTGACACTCGGGCGCAAAATGAGCAAATACGTTAACCGCTTAAGACCACAATGTACACAGTGAATAACGCAATCACAATCATTTTTCAGTCCATTGCTGTGAATGAAAGTCTCCCTATGCCGTGTTGGTCGCGGGGGGTTGCTTGAACATACTTCGCCGTGCTGGTCAGTACGGTCTGGCGCGTGGCGGGATGGCGACAAGAGCAATTGTAATAACACTCGCCGCTCATGTCAGCCACGGCTGCGAATCAAACCTCAGGCCGCCGGGTTCACGGCAAGGTGCACTAACCACTACGCCGGCGTCACACCACCACGGCCGTGCTACAATAAATACATCGGATTGATGAATAATCGACACGTGTCGAATCGTGCGTGTAAGAATTTGTTTGTCCATTCATATAAGTTGCTTAATTGGTTGGTGAGGTGCTAGGGTCGTGAGTAGACTGCGCTATGAAGCCAGCAATCCACGTTGTATTTTCGGCCAGTGGCGAGCGTCGTCTGTGCCGAACGTGGACTCCTCCTTCTCAAAGCCTCACGAAACAAAAGTATGAGTTGGCGATGCTGCGTCGGCAGTTTAAGCACAATTGACAACAACAAAATCACAACTCGCCACATTTGTCGCCGGCACTGGGGTCTTCAAAGGCAAAATAAATCAATAAAAAGAGCTCACGTTCGGGGCAACAGCCGTCATTTGTGTGCCACGAAGAAGAGCCGCTACCCCAAGCGCCGCCTGTTACTTATCCTTCTCTTTTGAGGCCACAGTGTTATTGACTCCTGTGTTGACTTTGTTGTTGTTGACTAAAAGTATGGTCAAGTATGGTCAAGCAGCCACATGTACAATTAATATATTCCTGAATCGAACCGTAGGCCCTGGATCGTGGTAGTTCGTCAGATCGCGCGGAGGGGGGGGGGGGGCAAATTGTCACGTGCCGAATATACAGTGACAACGGTACTTAAATTAACAAGAAAAAATAATGGGCTGTGCTTGCAGTGGTGTTCAAGCACAAATTAAAAAATAATCATGCATTTCACCATTAACACTGCCTTACAAAAGAAAAAAAAATAGGCTGACATTTTGCCCTTCTTCAGAGCAGGTATATAAGCGGGTAATTAAAATGTGAACACCTGAAAATGTCATTACCAATGGCCAGAAATAACCGAAACTGTTTCAGACACAGCACGCATCTAATTGGGGAGGCATAATATGTATGCAAATGCTTGCGGTTTAAACAGGAACATTAAACCATGGGAAACGAGGAAGAACAATTATGCACACGCATGGATTAGGTAACCCATTCTGACATATTTGATGATTAGAGGTATTAATGTTAGTGCTCGCCAGGCACGCAGGAAGCGGTCCGTCCGTCCGCGCAGGCCGTAACGAGACCACGGGGCTCGGATAGCGGCTCTGCCAGGGAGTGTGCCAGGAGTAGCGCAAGTCCACCCAGCAGCAAAACAACTTTACAGGAAAGTATCGGTCATTTTTGCATCATCTTTACGACAGTTATCATGCCCCTGCCCCCGGTACAGACGGACAGAACTAATGCACAAATGCTTTCAAGCAGATCTGGAAAGTGTTTAAAAAAAAAATAAATGCAGCTCAGCAGCAGAAAGGATACGGTATGAGAACGGGCTGTCCCCGTACGAGATGCTCAATAATGAGGCTTCGGTTTTCTCCCAGCATGCCGTTCTGCAACAGTGTCACTTGACATCCGTACAGGTCCTCAGCCAGTCGTGACATATCGAAAGCTGCAACAACGGAAGCATTGTAAGCAACGTGATCATCGGTGGGCGGATTATCCAGGTCTCAGATTATCCGTGTTTGTAAATACATATATTTACATGCGCAATAGTTTAACAGCTGCTGCTCACTCATCGAAGGTCAGTGGCTCAGTGCTCACTTCACCGCAAACGTAGGAAATTAAACAAATATTTGCAGGGCAGCACATCGTACAACTTGTTAGGGCACTTTATACATTTCAATTATTATTATATGTTCTGCACAGAGACAGCTGCCCCTGGGGGGTCCCCCTTGGCGAGACTGCAGCAGAGCATTGGAATGGTTGAGATGAGATGTGATGAAAGGCATTAAAGAAAGCGCCCTATACATTCAAATCCTTGATCTGTTTTCAATAAAAACAGACAACACATTATGTGTCTTCACATCCATTCTATGTAGTTAACCATAAATATGTTTGTGCAGCCTAATTTACATATGTTTAGCATTATCCGTGATTTCTTTACCTGAGCCACCCCTCCATTACCTCAGATAATTAACAATATAAACCTTACAAATTTTTTAAAACAAATGCCTTCAAACACTGCAAAATATGTGTATCAATCGATTATGTATGATAATTTTTTGTATTAAGCTTACAAGAAGAAAATCTTTGACTTTTAGTACGTACACGAGTGAATGTCATGCGTAATTTAATTACCCGGGAAAACCCTCGCTTCAAGTCTCGGAAATATTTTTTCCGGCGGGGTTATTGGGGCCTACGCCTGCACGGTGAGCGCTTTGCACGTGAGAGGAAAACCGTCAGCACACTTTGCGTTGGCGGTTAACAATGCAAAGGTTTAAAAAATAAAACCTTTATAAATGCTTTTTGTGTTCAGTTTCTTGTTCTACCCCCGCACCTCCGTTAGCACGGTTGGCCACGTACGGTATGGAAGAAGTTCAACATACACACGTGCAAAGGTTCCACACAGGCCAGTTCACAAAAACCCGCTTCATGCACTGCCTTCTGCCAGTCAAAGCGTTACCACAGCAGGTAACAGAGTTTGGCACATCTCTACGGGTGCGCTCCAAAGCTACCACATCGTGCTGCGAGAGAACGGGAGGGAGAGCGAGAGAGGGAGAGAGAGAGAGCAAACGGGAGGTTGCTCTTTCATGGAACATTAATCTCACTCCTTCACTTGGGCCCAGATGGCTTGGAGGGAGAGGGCTTACATGAGAAATGAGTGTGTTTTATTAAACACCGAGTTAAAATTATCAACAGGGTATATAGATAACCTTTCGGTTTGCAAACCTCTTCTTCATTGGGTCCACTTGTAAAATTAACACTTAAATTGATCGCACAAACTGAATTTCTTTTTTTAATTATTATTGTTAAAGAATAAATAACTGGAAATTTAATCCATCTCAGCTGCGGTGTTTAACATCGTCTCAGACCAAGCTTAAATCACATCCTTCTTTAAACTAATCATTCACAGAGTATTTTTATGTTTGGATCGAGAGCGTCTTGCAAGTCCGTAATTGAACTTGGATATAATTACACATGCACGCCTGTAATTCAGAGCTTCGGAGGCCACGGTTAGTGTATTATTTACATTTTAAAACATTCCAAACCCACTAAACTATGCCGGTGCTCGAAGATGGCAGTACAGCAAGTTGGTTCATGACCCATCTGTGCAGATATTCAAGCGTTTTACGATTTCCTCCTGCACACTAAACACTCCTTAAAATATAAACTAGGCCAAACATCCCGATACACCAGACTCTCCCGAAAATGCATCTTGAGACTCAGCGAGGCTTTCCCATTTCTATATTTTAAGATCGTAATGTTTGTTGCTGCATCTCTCCGAGCTACAGGGTAAACGCGATACATTACGCTCCCGATGCATGTGAGGAATATTGTGTGGAACAATTGATTATTTAAACGATTTACGTGAATCACCAGTAAATGATATGCTAAACGTTACATTTACGCTAATGGAGCGTACCAAACTGTGCAAGCGAGGTGTAAACATAACAACGAGATGGTAAACAAATGGACGAGATATGCACACAACTTCGCTGCCAGGACACAGATGCCGAGGTGAATCTATTTTTTCGCGACCAATATCAACCATAAGAGGTTATTTGGGTTAGATCACGTAA